ATTTGGGAATTTTCCAGGAAAGTTATCATGTAATTCAGACGGACAATATTAATGTCATATAGGTACAGTAAGTGAAAACGATGTTAGGTACCTAATTTTCACAGAAACGATCACGGTACGATGACACGGCACGTGTAAATTCATAAATTGTTTATTTTGATATATTTTTCTAGCTTTTGCCTGCGGCATCGCCCACATGAATTTCGGTCTATTATAAAAAATTTTTATCATACCCTTTTCTTTTAAAAGTCCAGACTTAACATACTTGACTTAAGGTCGTATGTCCCCTAAATGGGGCAGAGGGCGTTCACAACAGTTTAAAAATCCAGGATCTATCCTTTGTTTATCACTAAGTCTTAAACTATCTTTAAACCTTTCATAAGAATCGGTTTAAACGTGATTAGGTAACCAACAAACTGAAATACTTTGACATTTATAATATCCGTAAGTAAATACGGATTTCACGGAATTTTCGCGAATCCTCGATTCCATTGATTTCCAACCAAGTAGTAGGTTTGTACTTAATTAAATTAAATTAAATTACGCTTTAAATGGAAAAGGGGAAAGACATACCTACTATTCAATGGGAACCAAAATAGAAATACCTACAAGAGGTTTAAGTACTAGACTAAACGTTTTGATATTGGTGGTACTTTAAGTGAGCCTTCTAATAAATAAATGTAGAACGCATTTTAAGAAAGCTGACAATTTAATGTTAAGCTTGTAGGTATTATAGTAGGCAGGTCAAATAAAAATATAATTTGAGACATGTACTTACTTCATTCTAATTCATAATCATAGAAAGATAATATGTATTTTACATTATTATTATAAGTATTGGTCAATAATTACAATTTCAAACCTATTTAAAATCTGATAAGTATTTCGTCCACAGTCAAGTAGGTTATGGCGTGGTCACATACCTTTGTAATTCCCAATAATTATATTGCGTGACCTCGTACGTGCTTTAGACTTGGTCGACTTCAGAAGCAATTTAATTCAGCTATAAAAGTTAATAATCTCTTAGCATATTCAATGCAGTGTTAGGTTATGTTCTAGGCTAGATTAAATTTAAATTGAAACATTGGTTAGTTCCATTTCCTTTGTACGCTCTGTGAATAAAATCTAAATACATTTACTGAAAGAGAACGAGTATGCGTTCAGGAAATTAAAGAACAGATTGTGCATTCGCTCTGTCAACCTCAGCTGTTATCTTGGCTTTTTGAAATCTGAGTATACTTTATAACATTTTAAGGTTGTATTTTATATCTTATACAATCTGAAATTAGGTAGGTATTTAACTATCTTTTGAGGAAAACTGAAATCTGTGTGCCTACCATGAGTTTACGTTAGGTGTGCTCGCTAGCGACTGCGTAAAAAAATGACATTTAAATGTATGACATGTTGTGCAGCGCCCCTAGCGGCTACTTTCAAGAAATAAAATCTTCATATAATTTTTTGACGTATTTGCTAGCGAGCTCACCTAACGTAAACTCATGGTAGGCACACTGTAGTTTTGTTTTGTTTCTTTCACACACGCGAAAAAGGGCTGAACGCGAAAAGACTAACTTAGCTTACTGATAAGCTGATATCATATTCACATTAGTCAGTTAGTATGCATGTGGTAGTGGTGAGTTAATAAGTATCCAATTTATATTTAACTATGCTATAGTGATTGACTACCATACATTCGCAATCTCTCACATCGGCAACGAAACAAAAAAAAATACTTGAAACATAATAATTAATATTAAATTAGACCGCTCACAATTTAAACAACCAAGAAGAATTTTGAAACTTTGAATTACAATTATCATAAAATAAAATCAGTTTCAATTTCAGAATTGCCTCTGAAATGTTGGACAATAAGACAGCAGTTGATGTGACTCTTTCGTCTCTAAATTAATTATATTATTAATTAATGTCACCTTAATTTGATATTGTCTGGAGTTTTCAGCTATGACTGTATAGACTGAATGGCGTCTTTTAAAGCGATGTAGGAAATCATAAAGTAAAAGTAATTAACAAAAACAGTCTAACAATGCCTTTTATACTTAAAATTATAAACTAATTTGTTTTTCTAAACAAAATGCTTAAAATGACATTAAGTTCTTTTATGAAACCTAATATACCTTATTATTATTACTTAATGTATGTGTATAACCTGTATAATATACGTGTTACATTACAATATGTAAGAGCGGTTCAAAGAGATGAAGCTAACTTGCAGGGCTTGAGCTAATGTTAGTTGTTGAATCATCTTGAACTAGGACATGAGTCTGAGATTAATTTTTGTTTGATTTCGTCTTAGTTTCAATATAATTTAAGTTCATAATATCTAAGTGTACTGGCTTCTCTTCATACAGCAATCTCAAACATTTGGTCTATCGAGTAGGTAGTTTATGGACAAGCTAATTAAAGGTAAAAAATGCCATGTCTGGTATTTTTATTTCAAAATCACACCTGTTCCAACGATATAAGATGCCTCAGTGTGAAGCTTGCTGTCCTGGTCCTGACGTTATTGTACCCACGAGAAAAATATATTCCCTGCTGTCACAGAAAACTCCACAAGCAATAGTTCAGTGAAGTATAGGGGAGCAATAAGAAGGAATGTTTGCCCGAGTTGTCAAAGTTCCGAGCAAGTTGCAAACTCAAGGGTAAAATTCAAAGACGATAACAAGCGGTCGCTATTCGCGTCTGGGCATTGAATAATAAATGGGCCGTCAGCTAGCACACGTGGGTGGCCGTTGGGCCGACGTGTTCGGCTCAGGCCGAAAGTTTCGGCCCTGGGCCCTTCCCACCTTGCTTAGTGTCATACAACAAAGATATGTACATGTTTAGACGTTTTGTCGTCTGTCTAAAAATTGACCGCTTATTTTTAGATATTTATTAAAATGTCCTTTTCTACGTAGCTATGAACTTACAGTATACGTGTAGGTAGAACTTATAAACTAGTTTAAGGCTAATGATGTGGTAACAACATCTCTTACAGCTTGATATCTAATGTATATTAATGTCTACCCAATTCATCAATAAAGTTTACGCTATAATAGCTTATTGTTTATTTCATGAACAAAAATTCTGATTGAAGTCAAAAGGACGAAAAAATGTGTCTAAAAAAGTTTTCGGCCGCAATATCCGGAACTAGCTGTATTTATTGGCTGCACTAGTCGCCATTCCTGCATTGTACGCCCACTGGCTTTATATTATGCCTCCACATGTTTTTTTGGTCCGGTTTTGTCCATTAGTGTCGCTATATAGGACTATGTGTACGCAATGAAAGAGCACAGATATGCGGTTGTTTTGTATCACAAACTGATAAAAATAAGGCATCATTTTAGCTAACTTGATTTTATCTCTTTTAGATTTTGTTGCGATAAAAAGTACCTAGACAGATTCAATCCATCTTTAAAACAAAATTCACCAGAATTGACTCAGTGTTGTAGTTGTAAAAACATAACAAATAAACAGAGTAACTATATGCAATGAGAATGCAAGAGAATGTGTGTGTGTGTGTGTGTGTGTGTGTATGTTTATCTGCGTCGATTAAACATAAGATATAAAAAACAACACTATTTTACAAATCATGAGATTCGATCCAGCAAATGTTCGATTTCTTCATATGACTTATTTTGTATCCAAATATATAAAAGTTTCTTACACTCATGATGAGTTTTGCTATATATAGATAAGTTTTTATTTATACTATTGTAGATGTAGGTGGAACGTGATTCAATCTGTCTGGCAAATGTAGTTTTAGTGATGACTGGTTTGGCAACCCTGCATGTGCGTCTTTTTTCTAGTATACGAGGGTCGTAATATATGGATTTGTGTGTTTTGAGGGTAATATACACTATATATAATTTCCTTACCGAGAGCAACCCACTGGTGTTATATAACATATCGGTGGGGAAGCGTCTCTTCCTAAAGTACATGACTTTAATAAGAGTACGCTGCGCCCTCTCAAGGTTAATAAATTGGGTTTTTGCGGCACCACCCCATACAGGAACGCAGTAGGTTAAAACGGACTGTGCAAGAGCTGTGTATATTCGGTTGAGAAGACAATTAGGCGAGTTCTTTTCACTTCTTTTCACACGCGAATGTTGCCGTGAAAATTCTCGTTTTATAAAAGTCAGCGCACACAGAGGCGAGAAGGGCGGGAAAGCGATCCAATAGCGATCCAGCGCGAAACGGTGGACGCATAACAAGCCAGAAGGCGTACGCTCTCTATGTGACTGATTTTATACAAACTAGAACACTAGAACATTACAAAAATGGACCCCGATCGCGAACGCTTTTCCGCGCTTCCCGCCACTGTGTGCGCTGACCTTTACTAAAAACTAAGAGTCCCAATGGAAATCATGCCCGCTGTCAATATACTTCGATGGAATTCCGAGTATAGGCTCTGTGGGATTGATTCAATTGAGCTTAATATTTCTTTTCTACGAATACCTTTTGGGTTAAATAAAACACGAATTTCGAAAATAATAATACTGACACTCATTTAATTTTCCTTGTCAAGTGGACCTAATCTCTTGAGAAAACTGATTCGGATTTTCGTTGTCTTATTTCTAAACACTATATGTACGAGTAGGTTGTAGGACGTAGGTATTTGGATATTGTTTGTAAATACCATGTACCTACATTTAGGTGATACTATGTGGGGAATTTGTTTCATACAATTCGTATGGACGATTAAAGTTAAGTAGGTACAACCGTAAATAGCTATTACAAAAAAAAGATAATAATTATGCTTGATTGACTACAATATGAGATTGGTGACAATTTGACTTACAAATTGTAAAAATGGAATAGTGAACAAATATTAAAAATAAACAAAAGAGAATCTCTTGCAACTCTCTCTCACTCCACATTTACAGAAAAAAATGCTCTACTTTAAACACCGAAATGCCAAACAGAATCGATTTGTAGAGCATTTTCCGACCTACGTGTGAAATTTTTCGCTTTGACGCATAAAAAACAATTGAAAATCGACTCACCTTGACATTGCGTCTCTTTTATAATAAAAAGCAGGAACGAAGCGATTGTGACGAATCTCCAGCGTCGCCGTCCCATGGTGTTTGGTTATATTTCACCGTTTCATTGGTCTATCACTAGAGAAGTTATAACACGAGAAAAGTCTTTTGCGTTTTGGGCACAGCCATATTTGGCGGAGAATTTGGCACAGTCATTGATTAAGCCTACACCATGTTGGCAGCACCGTCACATCTGAAACAAAAAAGAAACACATTTTAGTCTGAGAATTCCAAGTTTATGTCGAATAAATTATTATTTCTGAGCTTTATTTATTATTTGAAAGGCAGTTTTTAAATCAAATAGCCACTAAAGTAATTACTCGAACTAGTTAACTCGACGATCGTAATCAAGAAAATAGATTTTCTATTGCCTTTGCTCATAAACGTTTAAAAATTTTAATAGTGTTATAGCAATTATAATTTTAACAGTTCAATTTGAAATGACGTTTATGCGGCACCAATATCTGGTTTAAGTAATTAATTTAAGCGTTACGCTGCAAATAACAAAGAAAGTGGCTGTAGTTACGGGTAATTGCTTTTGCTTAACAATAAGGGCTTCTTATTGTTAGTCAGCTCTATCAGTTTCTACAATGCTAGTTTCCGAACAAACAAAATTATATAACAATCAATTTGAAACGACTTAACCAGATAAAGCTGACAAGGTTGTTTGTGTTACTAATCTAAAGCTGAGTTGCACCATCTTAATTTAACAGTAACTATAACGATAACCGGTGTTTTTATATGGAGTTTGACAGACTTGACGTTTGTTAAAGTTAAAGTAAGATGGTGCAACCCAGCCTTAATCAACAGTGTCTAGGTAATTATATCGAACACAAATAGAAGTTGGGAAGTTCATTAAGTAAGTGGTTGCCAGCCGGCCCATAACTACGGTCTACTTTAATCAATAGATTCCGAAGCCCGAATTGTGGCCCACGAGAGGTGTCAGGTGTTGTACCGTGGATGGTAATTAGCCCGGGCCACTTAAAAGGTACTTTAGGTATCATTCTCGGTATCGATTACCAAGGCTCGGTAGGAATATCATATCGCAATGAATTATACCTACAGAACAGAATATGGAAGGCGGATGATTATCTAAGAGTATGTTTTCTTTCTTAGAATCTGCTAAGTTACGAAGTGGACGTCATTTGGCTGAAACGAAATTAACGAATGTCAGTTATATTTCGCACACTTTTTTAGTCATCGGAAATTAAAGAGCTTCCAAAATACGTACACGCATTTTATGTCATCAAGCTAACTTACCAAAACACGTATTGGAAAGATATGCATAATTGTTACCACGGATAATAATAATTATTTTACCTCAAAACGGACTCTATCTACCTCTAACTCTTCATTTAATCGTGGTCTGCAATCGACCTCGGTCAGTCAGTTTCCAATTTAATTAATACCATCTAGGGAACCAATCCTGCAATTTCAAAGCCTCAAACCAAACTATTTTCTAAACAAGGTTCGGCCTTCCAAACTTGCTTTGACAGGTGTCCAAATTTGCCCAGTGGCCCACAAAGAACCTGACTTTAGCTGTCACTTGTCAACTTTGAAACTAAAAAACTAACTTCTATTATTGATTATACCTAGCTAACTAATATTACGACTAGTTAGCAAAATTTATTTAAATCTAAATCATTAGTGATAATTTTTTTATAAAGGATTACAAATAACAAGTTGGGCAAATAAGGCACATACTTGTTACTATTGAAAACCGGCTTTATGACATTATTAAATAATTAAATCAAAATGCTTGCTGCAATAGATTTTCTTGTGTTCAACGTTCCAATAAATTAATGCCTAATGGTCCCGACTAAAGTTATCCAAACGAGTTTTAAATTAAACAAAATGAACAAAAAGCCGGTCAAGTGCGAGTTACAACCGCATGCACCGGGTTCTACACATTTTCATCGCATCTTTAAGCTCATAGCAGACTTGAGGCGTCTAGTTTCAAATCCCGCTAAAACGATTTTGATAAGATTTCGAGAAATTGAAAAAAACCGCTTATCCATATAGCTTTGGCCTTAGGCAAAAAAAAATATGATACGAATTATTATTGTCATCTGTCAATACTAACAGTAATTGCTATTTATCTTTAAATTAAATATAATTTGAATTATAATGAAAACTATTTTCATTTTGGCGTATTTTGTTACGAACATTCGGTTTTAATGGGATTTGAAACGGACATGTCGTATTTTAGCGGGATTTGATAAGAGCAAATTATGAAGCAACCACGTTATAAAAAAATCTCCATACTGATTTCGCAGTCACGTGACCAAAATACCGTGCTACCATTGGTCAATCAACTTTTAGAGGGTTTTGAAAGAAACGGACGGCGTTTTAGCGGAGTTTGTAACACAAACCTAATTTTAAGTGCTAGTTTAGTAGTCTTTTAGTGTATTTTGATCGAAAATGATTGAACAGTATGATGAGAAAATTGCAGTAGCATCATTTAGAGATATAAACAGAAATTAGTTGCAGGAGCGTTTTAGCGGGTTTTGAAACTAGACGACTCACTTCTCAACTCGGAAAGGGGTCAACACCGTATCGTCTTTCGCGAGCTGTCATCGCCTTTCGCGCGCTGTCAATCGCGAGGCGAGGCATTTACGTTACGGCGCGGGATAAGTGTACATTGCAGTATGGAGTTTCATACTAATTACCGACCGCCTCGAGTTGATACGATTACGATCCCATTCCAGGTTGATTAGTGTGCTATGCTACGTCCTTTACGTCCTTTAGTTTTCAAGCCCCGATCTGTCACGCTGTAACCCAAATTTCGTTCATCTGCATAAACTTACTTAAAAAAGCCAAACTTCCTGAATCACAGTCGTATCATTTTCTTCAAACATTAAATATGCATCTTTTTCTACATTTTTTTCAACCCATTATTTTAAACGATTTTTTTAATGAACCATAGAGAGTGCATTTTAATGCAACCGGCCAGACATTTTCTGTTTCCTAGCAAACACGAGAAGCGAGGAAAAGGAAATGCAGTGTAATCAAAGGTTAGTGTAGGAAGGTATACTATTAAACTGGATTTGCTCAGAAAAAGTGGTCTTGGGCAAATTAGATGCAGTTCGTGCCATGTTAGGTGTGTCCCAATGCGGTACGTGGAAGGTCTCGGAATTACGTACGCAGGAAAAGTACGACGTAGTCTGTTGCGCATTAAATTTACATGAGCTGAGCCATCAAGGCATAAAATTGGTAAAATTTCTACACGATGTTGGGAGACAAATCTAAAAAAAGACTCTCGTGTGATTTATCGAACTTTGTATGACAATTAATTAAGACAGTTGATGGTTTGATAATGAAAAACAGTACAAGCTTTTTGGAATAGGTACCTAAGACATTTATCGACGTGTTTTTCTTCTTCTTCACTATTATTATTTTGAGGTCACCGATGTAGAAAAACAAGTTCTATTGCTAATGCAATACCTACCAATATCCAGTCTAAAATATACTCACTGGTTTTTGTTTATTTTTGGCAGTCTCTATTGTTTTTAAATCTTCGCGCTATTTTTTCAACCAGCCAGTACGAATTGATGATTAAAAATAAAATATAGTCTCTATTTTAACGCATTTTCGGTCGTTGCACCAATATCGGAGGTAGTGAAATGTGTCGTGACGTCACGCGGCGAGATGGCTTGCGTGAAAGCGACGTTACGGACCGGCGAACAGTTTCTCGTATGCGCCTTGCACACGATCCGACAAAATACATGCGTCGTGTTTTTGACGTGGATACGTGTGACGTGTAACGATGCATTGTGACTGTGACGCTTCATAATTAGGTCTGTTACGACGAAATTATGACGGCACCAACTAAAACTGGCAATTGCGTTTGAAATATTTTGATGAAAATTGACCTAAATAGAGTCTAAACAATTTCAGTGTTCTTAACGTCTTACGTCACTTGCTATAGGTTTTCAAGTTTCAACTGTCGGAGACTATCTTATGCGTATAATGTAATAATGCATGCGTACCTATGCATGTTACTTTTATCATGCGTCTTCGTAGAAGAAACTCGATTTCCTGTCGGAAAATTCGAGTTTTTTTTCGTTTTAAAGTATATTTTGAAAGTGGAAATATCGATTTCGGGATCGTGAGCGAAAAAGTTTACTTTTTAAGATTTTCCAATCTGTACACACTTACAAATGTTATCTCTCAATTTTCCTGGTATTTTGAGACAGATACCTAATCTTTCAATTCCAGGAAAATCTTTGAAACGTTTAAAGTGGCTTCAAAAACTTCAAAGTAAAGAGCGTTCTAAGAAATTTACACTATTCTAGTTCGAATTAGAGCTTATCATAAACGTTTAATTACTTCTATTCTGTTATTTACATCTATCAAAAAAGAATAAAAAATAAAAACGATTGCAAATTCCATTATCATTTGTTTTTAATGATGAGTTAACGATGTTAACAAGTTGCTAGGTACAGACGCCAGCACATCAAGCTAAATACTGTGTGGTCTTATGCAGTTGCAATAGAGTTGAGTTTGCAACAAAAATTCATACAAGGTTTTAAAAATGAGTTTCTTGCCTCGAGCGACTTCTTCACAAATATCAAGGTTCCAACCTTTCGAAAATTGCGAGTCATAAAATTAAACACGGTAAATGGAATATGTATGAGACGTCGCATTTAATTACTTTGTTTGTCTATTAATTCCAAAGTATTTGTTGTACATGTAATTACATTTGAATAATAAAAAAATGAATGTAGGCACGATTTTAATTGTTGCACGATGTCAGAATGGTTTACGGTTTAACGAAGAAAAATTGGTAAATAATACTCACATAGCAGAATGTATACTCAGAAAATTGACAAATATTCATATAATATCAGCGTTCATTTCCAAGTACATTTTCATTTATTTTTCCTTTCAGATATTTTATGAAGATCACTAAAGCGTAGCAAATTAACCGTGAACCATTTTCCGAGAAAAGTATATTTATCTTGGTGAAATGTGATATGCTTGAGGAAAGAACTAGGTAAATGTATTCTAGCTCTCTATAAGGTGCATGATCACATGAAGTAGACCTTATCCATGGCATGAATAGGCAGACAACTGGTAGTTACACGCTTTTAAAGAAAAACATATGAATAAAGAAGTGTAGAAAAAACTAAACGGAGTTGGTGATTACCGTAAAGTAAAGAAAGAAGAACAATATTATTAAAAAACTTTCCT